TGCCATGCTCTGTCTACATGCATTCTGGTTCAAGCAAATCATTATCTCTGTTCTTTACTATCATATTTTTATCGAAGAGGTTGTTTAAGCTCCATTGAAACGCGTGATTGTATTTATTTTTAGATTCTCGGAGCTGTGGTCGCCGTTGGTTGCTGGTTCGTGACCTATCGTATCATCTACAAATCCGGATTTTTGAGCTCCCCCATCAACCGGGCGGCAAGCAGAAGATAAGAATTTTGACATCTGTAGAACACATTTTCATAATTCTAGTCACCATGTTTTTTTCATTCGAAGTTCCATCTATTGCCTTTTTTTACTGGTTATTCTAAAAAATTTGTTTGTTAATTATTTACTAAATTCAATAAAAAGCTGAACGTCATTTTTATCAAAATCGTGATAAACCAAGAATTCGCCACTCAAAATGAAATGTATTACTGTAACTGTTTGGTAGCTTTTAGAGGCATAATGGCAAGTTAGGATGTGACATTTTTCTCCAGTAAACTTTATTCAGTTGTCTGTTCTAATTTACTAATTGGCTCCGAAAATGTAAGACGCGAAACACTCAATCTGGCGCGATATTTCTCTCATTCACTTTTCCATTTTTCCCCCCGAGTGCACAACAAAAATAAAGTGATTTGTTGTTGTTTCTCTGTGGTATATTAAAAAATATGGTAGAATTCGGACAGCTTTGGATGTGGAAAGAAAAGTTTGAAGCATTGGGAAATTATTGTTCTGGTACAAAAAATCAGAACTGTGGAAGAGAAACACCGGTGGACGTGGCCGAAGGTCCCAAAACGACAACTACCGTAACCCAAAATTGCTTCTGGAAAAAATAAAAGTTGAGATCCAAAAAAAAAGTTTCAAAAGACTATTTTATTCGAAAATGGTCCACTTTGGATGCCTGGAGTCCAGACTTTGAATAATTAGAATTTGTTCTTTTAGATTACGAATTTCAGGTACATCACTATATAAAAAATATAACTATATTTTTGTACTATTACTTGCCAAGAAGGCATTTTGTCTCTTCCGTTAGTTATTGTACAAAACGATGTAAAGTACAAAAGTAGCTCCTGATAGGGTTCTTATTCAGACACTCAAAAGTAAAAATTTTAATAGAAATTGGAATCCAAGACATTATTTATGGCTAATACTACCGTAAATG